GCTCCCACTTTACAAACGAAATTGTTCAGGAAATACGATAAGCTCGCACTTGATAAATGAAATTGTTCAGGATATACTATAAGCTCAAACTTTACAAACCAAATTTTTCAGGATATACGATAAACTCCAACATCATAAACGAAATTGTTCAAGATATAATATAAGCTAACACATCATAAACGAAATTGTTCAGGATATAATATAAGCTAACACATCATAAACGAAATTGTTCAGGATAAACTATAAGCTCACACTTCACAAACCAAATTGTTTAGTACATACTGTAAGCTTACACTGGACTGCAGGTTACTTCGTAATCGTCAGGGTGCCCTTATCTCTTAGATAACTTTGTTTTTCCGTTGAAGATGGTTCCTGGGATTTGCTTCTGTGTAATTGTCGTCCTTGAGTCCTGGGATTTGCTTCTGTGTTATTGTCGTCCTTGAGTCCTGGGATTTGCTTCTGTGTGATTGTCGTCCTTGAGTCCTGGGATTTGCTTCTGTGTGATTGTCGTCCTTGAGTCCTGGGATTTGCTTCGGTGTGATTGTCGTCCTTGAGTCCTGGGATTTGGTTCGGTGTGATTGTCGTCCTTGAGTCCTGGGATTTGCTTCGGTGTGATTGTCGTCCTTGAGTCCTGGGATTTGCTTCGGTGTGATTGTCGTCCTTGAGGTGGTAATACTACGGACAGCAGTCATGGTAGAGAACAACAACCAATCAATCTCCAAAGGTGTTATTTCAGCTAAACAACGTTTGGGCTTCAAACAGGTAAAGCAATGACACTAGAAGACAGCAGAAGTTTAGGCATTATTTGAGCAAAAATAGTTACAGCTGCAATTAACAAAGGGATAGCGTCTTTTTTCGAAGGATTAGTTGGATAGAATACATGTGGAGGATTGTAGAGTCCCTAAAGACATCGGGTATTGTCACTTACAGATGTCTGGAAGATGTCAAGGTAGGCCTCTACTCTGCGATTTAAGGTAGTGTGTAAACGGGACATGATTGACATACATAGTGAGGTGGATTTCTGTGTGTATGATGCAAAGGACCGTGTTGCATGGAGCGGAAAAAATCAATCAGGAAATGCGAACACAAGAGAAAATGATTGCAGGTAGGTAAAGAGCTGCAAATTTGAAAAGTTACACGTTACATGCAATCGGTGCCAGCAATGGTTTTACAATCCCAACCCCTTATTGTAAAAGACTGTTTGTTGTTAACACTATTAGGTCTTGAAAATCATATTCCTTATCAAAATGGACTGTGATTGCATGCACAAAATAACACTGCTGTCCGAGAAGACCCCCCCCCCCCCACCAAAGTACCAAAGTATTGACATCATTGATAATGACAGTTTCTGTAATGACAGCACTGACAATGACAGTTTCAGTTTTGACAGCACTGGTAAATCATAATCGGCAACGGCGCAAATGTAAGCTCTAACATACGCTAATGTTCATCTACAGCCACAAGCGACGATGGCTACCCGGCAACCACCTCGCTACTAGACTTCCTGCGGACGAGTGGGCTGTCCACAGGTACCAAAGGATGTTGTCTGGAGGGTGGCTGCGGGATCTGCCTGGTTACCGTCAACTTCAAGGATCCGTTGACAGAAAAGGCCAAAACTTACAGTGTTACTTCCGTGAGTTGTGTTTATGCCACGACAGTGGATCGGCTTATTGCCTTTTGATATTAGCATTGCTATTAGCACCATTGCATTTTCATCCTAATCCTTATTCTCTTCCCGCCGCCACCTACTATCTCTTTTTCCTTTCCCACCTCCTTTTTCTTCATTATTATTGTCACCATCATCGTCATCATCATCATCATCATCATCATCTTCTTCTTCTTCTTTTTTTTTCCTCCTATACTTCTTCTACTTCTGTTTCCTCATCCTATTCTTCATCTTGTTCTTTTTTGTTCTTTTTCTTCATCATCATCATCATCATCATCATTTTCTTCTTCTTCTTCTTCTTCTTCTTCTTCTTCTTCTTCTTCTTCTTCTTCTTCTTCTTCTTCTTCTTCTTCTTCTTCTTCTTCTTCTTCTTCTTCTTCTTCTTCTTCTTCTTCTACTACTTCTTTTCTACTTCTTCTTCTTCTTCTTCTTCTTCTTCTTCGTCTTCTTCTTCTACTTCTTCTTCTTCTTCTTCTTCTTCTTCTTCTTCTTCTTCTTCTTCTTCTTCTTCTTCTTCTTCTTCTTCTTCTTCTTCTTCTTCTTCTTCTTCTTCTTCTTCTTCTTCTTCTTCTTCTTCTTCTACTTCTTCTTCTTCTTCTTCTTCTACTTCTTTTCTACTTCTTCTTCTTCTTCTTCTTCTTCTGCTGCTGCTATTGCTGCAGCCTCTGCTCCTCGTCCTGCTCCTCATCCTCTCCTTCATCTTCTAGAAATGATCTGGAAAGATTACGAGAATAGCATGCACCAAGAACAAGACCAAAAAACACTCTAAAAGATTTGAACAACAGCATCTTGTCTGAGAAACTGAAATACTTTGGCCACATCAAACATCACAGGGGATGTCAAAGAAAAGTGGCAAATTGCAGGTACCAGACAAAAAGGAGCAGAGGCCGACCAGATAGGCACATGACATAAGAGACACCTTAGGCAGGAAATGAAAGTGAAAGAGCTGGCGATGGACCGAGTTTCTTTCAGGAAGACTGCGATGGGAGTGATCTGCCATGTGATGAACATGTTGATAAATTATTTAATTTCTGGTTGCAAGAGCACTACAATAGAACGCTTTACATTACTCAGTAAAAGCATCTTTAAAAATGCAGTTATCGTGTTTTTAGTAATGAGTGCTTCATAGGGCTGCGTTAACTTTTAGTCTCATGTTATTACGCTCAATTTTGCCTGAAAGTTTATTCATAGACTAACTTCTAATCGAGCGCTATGATTCATATGTTTAATTCCCGAAGTAGCCCAACATTTTGAAAGTTTTAGTCTCGTGATTTGAATCCCGTGTTAAAATTATTGGTGTTGCCTGAGAGTTCAGTCCCGTTTTCTAGTTTCAAGATGAGTGCTCGGAATTTCCATTCTTCATTTGGCAGTGCTGCCTGCAGTTGTATTCATGCGATGGCCTTGACATTACCACAGTCGAAGGTCTGTGCGATACACCAACCGGCATACACCCCATCCAGGACAGGCTGGCCAAGTATGACGGGGCTCAGTGTGGCTACTGTTCTCCTGGCCAAGTCATGAATATGTATGGGTGAGTTCACGATAAGGTAATCTGTGAGGATATGTGTACATGCGTGTGCGTGGGGTGGACGTACATGATATTATCACATATAGATGTAAAGCATACGATAGTACAAAGTGACCTGATGTCACTGGTCCAGAAGACACTCCAGGTGGGTAAAATAGGTAAATCTCGTGAAGCAAAATAGAAGCTTGACAGCAAGTGGCAAATATAATGGGGGGAAAAAAGGGAACTTAAACACACACTTTAAAAAAAAGCATCACTATCTTGATGATTTGGCCCCATTTCCTTGACCAGACAGAACACAGACCTGATCGGTAAATGTGGACATTGTAGGATACGACGAACCATGGCTATCCTTATTTGTCAGTATGCTACATGATGATGATGATGATGATGAATTGAGGCTCCCATGTGGACCCAGTCTAAGGAACCCGGTTAAAGTCGTAGAAAGTAAAAGTGGCCGGCGTGCTGTTTACCATATAACCCATCTAGCGCTGATTGGTCTGTAAACAGGCGAGTCTCCAATCTGATGCTCAGTGAGCCTTTGGTGTTAACAGGAGCTTTAAACTTACTTAATGATGTGATGAAATATGTGATTCCCACATCAAACATCATGGGGTAAAAGGAAAAAAAAACCTTTATCCGCATCATCATCATAATCATCATCATCATCGCTGTCTTATTGTGTCATTGTATGTCACACAGGGCTCGCAGTCCAATCCCCCATTCCCTTCTATCTTGAGCAATCCAGTCGATAACATGAATGGAATCCAGTCCAGCACCTTTGGCCTCTCTTGTCCATGTCCGTTTTAGGGTTTCTTTTGCAAATCCTCGTTTCCTGAATCCCTGTATTTCTCATTTTAGTGCCTGTTTAATGATGTCTTTTTGAATTTTGTTAACTGTATAGTTAACTGTATAGTTAAACTCGGGCATTTGTTTTCTAAGCACTTATCTCCCATTGCTCTAGTGGTTCTCTCACTTTTGCTCGCATATGATATGAGATTTAAAAATGCAATAGTCACGAAGATATACGCTGACATAATCGCTACCAGGTCGTCAATCGGCTTATCAGTAGACGACTTCGTCGCCAGTCGAGACAGAATTTGGGTCGGTCTCTTTTGATCGCATAAGCACTGCAAGAGTCCTTTAAGTGGCTAATTGGTGGCAAGCAGTGATAAGCCATTTAATGTTGTGCACATAACCTAGTCACAATTATAACCTAAACCTCCCCCTTTAGGGATGCTGGTTAAACGTGACGTCGTTGTTTTCTAGCAAAGCAAGACAAGCCAAGAAAACATATGAGGCTGGAAAACTAGACACAGCTCGACGGGATCCTACCTGTTCTGATTAGCTATCTCATGCTCAGTTCATGTACATGAAGATGCCTTCGGTGTTTTCCATACCCTGGCCGCTCTGATTATCATCATCATCACCGTCAATCAGCAGGTCTTATACAACACGTCGCTCTCGCCAAGAAACGCATAAAAGTCTAGCCTTCTCTAGCCAATTCTCCAGCACTATGTGCTTTCACAGCCAATGCGTCTTCAGTGTCATGTGTCCTTCGCAGAATTTTTACTCTGCCTCGTTTTCCACAAACTGTACACTCCATCGCCGTGACTATCCGCATGCTGTTGATCCTTTCTCCAGTTCGCATAGACGGCCTGCCTGGTATAAGGAGCTCCACACTAGATACTTGAGATCTGCATATTATAAGATCAAAAATATAAATTTTAAATAAAATATGTATATATATTATTGTAAAAAAGATCATTGCTAAGGAAAAATTACCAACGTATGACACATTCACAGACTTCTCAAGAACAAACCAAGACCTACAATGAAGGAGGTAGAGGACGCTTTTGATACAACCATTTGTCGATGTACAGGTAGGGTTTTGATTCTCTGGCTGCCTAACACAGGTAGTATCTGTTCTATGTTTGATTCTCTGACTGCCTAACACAGGTAGTATCTGTTCTATGTTTGATTCTCTGGCTGCCTAACACAGGTAGTATATGTTCTACGTTTGATTCTCTGACTGCCTAACACAGGTAGTATATGTTCTATGTTTGATTCTCTGGCTGCCTAACACAAGTAGTATCTGTTCAATGTTTGATTCTCTGGCTGCCTAACACAGGTAGTATCTGTTCAATGTTTGATTCTCTGACTGCCTAACACAGGTAGTATCTGTTCAATGTTTGATTCTCTGGCTGCCTAAACACAGGTAGTATATGTTTTATTTTTGATTCTCTGGCTGCCTAACACTGGTAGTATCTGTTCTGTTTGATTCTCTGACTGCCTAACACAGGTAGTATCTGTTCAATGTTTTATTCTCTGGCTGCCTAACACAGGTAGTATCTGTTCAATGTTTTATTCTCTGACTGCCTAACACAGGTAGTATCTGTTCAATGTTTGATTCTCTGACTGCCTAACACAGGTAGTATCTGTTCAATGTTTTATTCTCTGACTGCCTAACACAGGTAGTATCTGTTCAATGTTTGATTCTCTGGCTGCCTAACACTGGTAGTATCTGTTCTATGTTTGATTCTCTGGCTGCCTAACACAGGTAGTATCTGTTCTATGTTTGATTCTCTGGCTGTGAAACACGAATTATCTGTTCCCTGTTTGATCACCTGTCAACAAATTTACACAAGTAAAATTAGGTTTAGGCGGTTTGGGCATACTATTTTAACACTTGTGTGGAAAACAGTCGGCAAGCGAGTATAAGGACTGTAAAATTCTTTTTTTCCCCAATATCTGCCCTTGTCCACTCCTGGACTTTGGTCTTGATCCAGAACTTGTGTTTCGTATGCACATCTGTTTTATGTATCTGGCTTATTTATATTCAGACTACTGGTTTCTTGACTCTGAGGCAGATGCATTCCAACTTTGAAGGAAACACTCCTAAATAGTCGCCTCTTACGACATGCTTCTTGGGGACGGTGGTTCTATACTTTGTCCCCCAAAATGAAGCCACACAACCTACATTATGGTCCTAACTTGAGTGAGACAGTCGTGTTATAGAGGCTAGACGATCGCCTGTTGATCGTAAGGTCGTGGGTTCGAGTCCTGACGAAGCCAACTTATATAAAATTGACCTGGGTGTCCCGATCAACCCAGTCTTGAGTCGGTACCAGGTAAAGTCCCTGAAAGTAGAGGCGACCGACACGATGCTGACCACATCACCCCAAGTGCCGATTGGTCTTTAAAATATGAGTCAAGCTCTATATATCCAAAACGCCTAAATTGCGGAAAATAGGTCCTAAAAATGAATTGAATGTCTTTACTTCCAATAAAATTTCTTGGTACCATTTTTAGCCTGCGTCGACTTGGGAGCCAAGATCAATTAGAAAAGTTCAACATGGTTTGAATTTATGTCTTTACTTCCAGTAAAATTTCTTGGTACCATTTATAGCCTGCCTCGACTTGGGAGCCAAGGTCAATTAGAAATGTTCAACATAGTTTAAATTTGAACCAATTGCTGCCGCTGTCCCGATCTTTTTGTACAGTAATCTGATGTTACAATGTGTGTCCTGGCATGCTCCCCTTTCAATTGTTTTGTTGTTACTGGATCCTGCAGGCTATCGCGCCATTCTGGACGGGATGAAGTCTTTCGCCACTGATGCCCCGAACCCTGACGTCATTGACATTGAGGTCAGTTCTGCTGTTTTGTTGCTGCAGCATTCAAGTTGACAGCGGATATAATTTATAGTTTTTGCTGCAGCTACTGAGTTCACTTTGATATTATTTGTAACTGCCACTATAGCACTAGAGATAAGTTCGTCATTTATCTATAGCGGTTACTTATCATTATCATAATCAGTCATCATTATCGTCATCATCACCATTCTCATTATTATCTTTATCAACATCTTTCACCTCATTGTGGTCATCATCATTGTCGTCGTCGTCCTCCTTCTTCTCATCGTCATCATTCTCATCATCATCGTCATCGTCTTTATCATCACCATCATCATAATCATCATCATTCTCATCACTGTATCGTCGTCGTCCTCATTATCATTCTCATCATATGTCATTTTCACCATCATCATCATCATCATCAAGAAGCAGATTACTTGCGTAATGAAAGCCTCTCCCACGCCAGAAAGCCACTTGCCCCTTTATCAACCTCCCGTTTGATGAAATGCCAGGCCAAGAATTTTCTTGAAATCTCGTGTCCACTGAGAAGCTTATCACAAATAGTTATATGTAGACTTACATACAAAGCAAAGAATATTCAAATGCTTGTGGTAATTTCAAGTAATTATCTCTTTCTCATTCTCCTCTATGTTTTAGATTTTCTTTTTCT